CTAAAGACAGAGTGTTGAGCTTTTAACAGCTATGGTCCTGGAGCTCAAAGGGTTGTTAATCACTAGGGGCTCTAATTTCCACACTAGGAAATTGATTTTGACTGGCACTGACTTCCTGGAGATATGCATAAAGATGTAGTCATGATGCCTGGATTTTCCTTGGATGGGATAACATAGATTAGGCTTTGCTTTTGAAGGTGTATGTTCTGGCTAGGTTGAGATTCACCAAGATTTTAGTGTAGGTGAGTAGGCTTTTTGGAACCTGAAACTGGGCTTCAGGCATGTAGCTTTCTTTTTTGAGATGACTTATTAGTGTTAGCTGGGTGAAAAATAGAACGTGGATCACTAGGATAGTTTCTGAAAAACCTAAGAATTCCCTGACAACTTTGATCAGGCTAAAAGCCTCTAAGCCTAGGACCTTGTTTGACAATACTCTTGTCTTTTAAACAACCCCACTTGTGCAGTTAATCATTTTTTCTTCAAATGGCCCAGAAGTGGTACTGTCAGAGTTATCCCAGATTGATTTGAGACCAGATTGGGTGATATACACCAAAATGTTGTCTAGGTGGATCACTACTACTCGGTTCAGTATTCATAAAAAGATCCTTTCATTGATCACTATGTTAGTTAGGATAAATCTTCACTGCTGTAACAAAGGAATCCAAAAATAGTTTAATGGCTTAAAGACATTTATTTTGCTCTCAAATAACAATGACAGTAAGGAGTTAAAATTAACAGGGCCACTCTGCCCCATGTAGTCATTCAGGGACCTAGGTTCAATCTATTTGATTTCTCCATCACCCCATGAGCTTTGGCTTTAGCAGCATAGTTGCAGCCATGTCAGATGTGCCTGTTTATATCAGCTCATGGGAGAGTCAAGGTTATAGAAAATCACTTGGCAAAATATTATAGGCCAGTCCTGGAAGTAGCGGATATTCATTTATCCTGGTAGAGTCTGGAACTGATTAACAGCGATAAACAAGGGCCGACTGTACATCACTTCTACTCATATGCCAGTGGTGAAAACAGTCATACTACCACTCTAATTACACATGGTTTCAGGGCTAAAATAAAAAAAGGAATTCCTAGCTGGCAGCTATGTCCCAGCTACAATTCTATTACTATTGAGGAAGAGGAGAATAGATTTTGATGGGCAGTCTGCCACATGTAATTATGTGTGTACTCTGGCCAAGATGCCACATTTACATTATTTGTTCTCTCTAGTCTATGTCACAGAAGTCATTAACTCAAATGTCTATAGGAGCCAGGCAGGTGAAATAATGAAACAGTCTCAATTAGCCAGAGAGCCTGTGACCTATATCAAATGAGTTCCCCCCATTTGGCTTTAGCCAACTATTGCCATTTGGGATTTTTAGGTTTAGGGACACTGGCACCTTAATAGAGGCATCCATGGGTGTGTTCGCTCGTGAAAAAGTTACTTCTAGTCAAATGTGCAGCAGAGGTGCTGAATTAAGGCTTGGTACGAGAGATTTTCCTAAACTCCTGAGTGTGCCCAGGATGTAGAAGAAGATCTAGATATTCTCCATTCCTCTTTGCACCTTCTACACATACCGCTGAGCTATTCTTATAGGACAAGTGTATTTTCAGAAATGGAAATGATGCTCCCAAAGGTTGGGTACATGCCGACTGCATGGTCTATCATATAGGGCTGGTAGTAGCCTATATGATACCTTTAGAAATTAGAAATCTCAAGCAACATGGGTGTTTCTAAATTAGGGTTAGATAAAGATGGCCATTTGGGGTAGAAAAATTAGAAAAATATGTCAGTTTCCAGGTGGATGCAGCTCTGTACAGGGCAAACAGCTTGGTGAAAAGAGGACATGATGAAATTTAGTCCCACACCACTCTGGCCTAGACCCTTTGTTTTGGGGACAAACACTGCTATTCTGCTACCATACCTAGTAGAACCTTAACTGTCCTACCTGCTGTGGTTGCTGCCTGTGGACACCAGGGGGCAGCCGACTACATAAATTCTATCTACTCTTGGGTCTCCGAGAGAGAATCTGATATGCTCAGGAGATATAGGGTAGCCTTCATATTCAGGTAAAGTCTCTTAGCTCCCAGAGGTTCCTGGGCTCAGGTGATCAGGGAAATTCATTGCACATTGATCTCTTTGAGACTGAAAAATTGGGCTGCCAGTTTTTTTCACCCTACCTGTGGTACCTATTGCATAAGGAAGCAAAACAAATCCAGTGTTCTGCAGGCTTGATTATATCTTAGCAGGTGGAGCCATGAAATGTTTTTTAAAGCAGTTTGGAATAGGTCCCCTTAGTCCAAGGGAATGGGTAGAAGGTGAGTGTGTGAGGCTATGGGGAAACTAACAGAATTTGAGAGTACTTGATGAGATCCAAATGGAAGAACATGGCTAAAATGGGCCTAGAAGCAAGAGAAAGGGGAACATCAAGAGCCTAAGTACTGAATCAATTGGGGCGGACAGAACCAAGGTGCATGGAGATAAGCCTGCTGAAGTAGAGTTGAAAAAAAAAAAAAAAGAAAAAAGAACATGGCCATCCAGTGCCTCCAGCTAGGTTGTTATGTATTTGTACTTCTCAGGACAGACTAAGCCTAGTTAATGAGGTCAGGATGGGGAAAATAACAGTGAGTCAGGCATTCAGTACTTCTCCTCTAGGCTATAATAGGCACTGTTCATGCTGTGTAGAGAGAGTAGTGGACTTGTCCTGCCTTGTGCCCTGGCAAGGTGTTCTACATGTTCTCTAAGGATAAATGCACTTTGATGGACAGCCTGGCATCCTGAATGATTTTTATTAGAAACATGTGTTAAGAGCTTAAAACCATTAACACACAAAATGACTTTTTTCTAGTCAAGTCTGGCTGTGAAGCTTCTGATGAGGTCTGACTTTCCAACAGACGGCAGCATCTGCTGGTTATATTTCTTCATTTCCAGACAAGTCTAGTGACAGTTTTGGGGAAATTGAGGGGATGGGGGTTTTGGTTTGAAAAATGGGAAGGACAGTAGAGTTCCTCGTGTTTCATATTCTCTTACAGCGTCAGTGGTATATCTGGGAACACAGCTATCATTATTTCTTCTCTTCATTGGGTATGCTGAAAAACCATAGAGGGACCAAAGAAGCAGACAGAAGCTTTAGTTTTTTTTCCAAGGAATCTTGTGCAAAGAGTGATCACTCTGCAGGAAAAGTAGCTATCAGGATTGTTTGTGGTGTGGGTTTCTTTCCTGTGGTATGTAAAAACACTGGCTTTATTTTATTTTGACACACTGAAAGTTGTTTATCTCAATATGAGCTCATCTTCCTTCCTTCTCATTTCCAAGTAGGCCCCCCTCAAGTTCCCCTATCAATAACTGTCTTACTTCCTTTTAGAAATTTCTACCCAGTGGCTGCTGCATTTTACTTTTTGGTAAAAGGAGTAACCAAAACCATTCTTAGCTCTAACATTAAACTGCCTCAAACTCTAATTGTCCTCTTTGTCAGGAGCTCAAAGCTACCTGGGGTCCCCTCACCCCAAGGTCAGTCAGCAATGTAACCAGTACCTGTATGTCTGCAACTGATGGGTACTTGCATGGGACTTGGTTGTTCTTTCCACCCAAGAAAACCCAGACAAGTCTTAGTCACTCACTGATAACATGATAAGTAAGAAGCAGAAGTGGTATTTAAACACAGGATATTTTTACTGCAAATATAGTCCTTGTTCTAAGACACTGAAGAGTATTCTGAACAAAAGAAACTCAATTAATGTTCATTGAGAGACAGTATATATAACACAGTGGTTAAGATTCAAGCTTCTGATAACTGGGTTGTTTATTATTTTGTGTCTGGTAAAACATATCATTCAGTGGCATTAGGCTTATTTGCAATGCTGTGCAATCACTTCAAGAATTTTTTCATCATCTCTAACAAAAACTCTGTACTGACAACTGGTTTTAAATTCAGGTTCTTCCACTAAGTAGTTGTGTAAACTTACACAATTTCCTTAGGGGGCCTTAATTTCAACATTTATAAGATAAGAATAATAAGTATATCTGCTCCACAGGATTCTGTGTGTGTGTGTGTGTGTGTGTACACATAATACATTGTGATATTAATTATTATTATCAATTGATTAGACAATTCATTATTTCATTTTTATTGAATTCTTACTCTGTGTCAAGCACTGTGTTTGAGCTACTAAGTGACAGGGTTTATATTACTTTTTTTGTCGTTAAAAAATCTTTATTGGGTTATATTTACATTGCCCTCCCACCCAAATTAAGGGAAAAACTAAAAACAGAAAAAATAAATCCCAATAAGAGCCCCTCATGACTTTATAAATTATTAATATAAAACTGGTAGTAGCATAGTAAAGTCAGAATTTTCAGACTTGCATAAAAAGTCCTATAATTTAGGTAGATATTTTTCTTACCCATCACAAATCTTTGCACCACAATGTGAAGTTATGTTACTCTGAAATTTGTACCAACTGTAGAAAAACAAAAGCAAGAGACCATGAAAAATATTTATATGTTCTTCATGACCTTAGAACACAAAAAATTTTTGAGTAAGAAAAGGATAACTATGTGAGCCTGATATTTTTCTGTATCCTACCTCTTCTGCCTATCTGTATAATTGGTAAATGAAAGTCAGTAAGATCTTTGTGCATATGTGTGTGTGTGTGTGTGTATGTTATTGATTTGAGAGAGAGAAAGAGAAACATCAATTTGTTGTTTCATTTATTTATGCACTCATTGGTTGATTCTTGTATGTGCCATGACCAGGGATTGAACCCACAACCTTGGTGTATCAGGACAATAATCTAACCAACTGAACTACCTGGTCATGGCTGAAAGTAAGTAAGATCTTAATAGTAGAGGTCTCCTCTATCTCTCTCTTCTTTCTTAACTAACCGTACTTAATTTTTTCTCATCTTCCATGAACAGCATTGCAGGTTGTATAAAAAAATAATAAAGACATTCCACGGTGGAAGCCGGGAGACCAGGGGAAGTTGGAGTGTCCGCCAGGCCGGCTCCATTATGTCAAAGGTTTCCTGTAAGATCATGCTGACGTCCAACCTGCAGCTGCTGTACAAAGTACTCAGTGTTCCAGAAAGTGCACCTTTCACAGCAGTCTTAAAATTTGCAGCAGAAGAATTTAAAGTTTCTGCAGCCACAAGTGCTATTATTATCATTGATGGACTAGGAATAAATTCTGCACAGACTGCTAGAAATGTTATTCTAAAGCATGGTTCAGAGCTGCAAATTATTAGTAGAGATCATGTTGGAAGTTGTTAATATTCTCTATTTAAAGGTAGAATTACCGCCCTGGCCAGTTTGGCTCAGCGGTTAGAGCGTCAGCCTGTGGTCCAGAGAGACCCAGGTTCGGTTCCCGCTAAGGGCACGTACTTCGGTTGCAGTTTGTCCCCGGCCCTGGTTATTCGTGCGGGTGGCAGCCACTCGATGTGTCCCTTCACATCGTTGTTTCTCACTCTCTCTCCCTTCCTCTCTCTCCCTCCCACTCTATCTGTACAAAAAATGGAAAAATATCCTCGGGTGAGGATAAAAAAATAAAAAATAAAAAAATAAAGGTAGAATTACCTTTCAAAATAAATATTGTTATTGTTGTAAAACTGAAATCAGGCATTTGAAATACTACGAAAAGACCAATAATTGATGAAATAATAAAAGGTGACCTTGTCCCTTCCTGTTATTCACACTGAAGAGAGAATGCTTATGCATTGAGGGTACCATTTTTACATAAGATCTTAGTCTTTCATTGCTACCTCAAAGCATGTACAACTAGTTCATTTGAGGTAAACTGATTAACCAACTGTGTTTTATTCCTGGAGGATGCTTCTGATAATTCTTTCTGAGAACATTTGGAAGATTAATTTATTGAATATTCTATTTGTCTTTAAGTTAAAATTTTAAAAAGATTATCGATCATGCATGGCAGGTTACTTGACAGGATCTGACTTGCAGAATAAAAAATAGTTTAATTCTTAATTATATATCATTTATAATAAAGGATATAGATATATCAATGAATACTTAACTGTCTTAACTTGTTATCATTTAGGTATTTTTTAAGTTTCAGGCTTCATGTGTTCATACAAATTTTAATTTAATATCAGAGAGCAAAAAATTAATTTTTTATATAACCCCTATGTATAAAATTGCTATCCCTCACCAAAGACTTTTAGTATGATCTTGCAGAATCCAATACTTATAATGGTTAGAATAGAAAATAAAGTAGAAGCATCCTTTGTTAGAAAAAAAATTTTAAATAAAAATAAATAATAAAGAGCCTGGCCACTGTGGCTCAATGGTTGAGCATCAACCCATGCACCAAAAGGTCACCAGTTCAATTCCCAGTCAGGGTGCATGGCTGGGTTGTGGGCTCAATCCCCAGTGGGGAACATGCAGGAGGTGGCCAATTGATGTTCTCTCTCATCGATGTTTCTATCTCTCTCTCCCTCTCCCTTCCTCTCTCTTCAATAAAAAAAAAAAAAAATTTAATAATAATAAAGAAAAAAAGGAACAAAGAAGAAAGAGAAAGCAAATTTTACAAGGGTTTTATAATTATTGTTTTTTAAAATATTATATAATCAATTATTTGTAATTAATTATTTACCAGTTGGTTTATGTTGAATAGGCCCCCTGGAGCTTGGTCTTTCAGGGTTGCTATTAACAGAGCTGGAACTTGCGCTCATGTTGGCAGCAGTGCTGTCTGTGGGACTCCAGCTCACAAGTCTCATTGGCTGAGGACACCATGGAGAAGAGGAACATATGACACCACAAACAATAGGGATGTATGCCCAGTGAGCCAGCCAGAGAGCAAAAGGGAGGTGGCCTAATCTGTATGATACAAGCTATATGTAGATTACAAGCTTTATCAAAGGTGATGAAACCTATTTTGCGTTGACTACACAGACACAGAAGGAGCTGTCATTTTTCATGAACATATCAATGCCATACACATCAATCCCCAGGATATTAGACACCTGGATAGCTAGCTGCTTCCCTTGCTCATTCAATTTGCACATTGTTCTCACACCACCTAGTGAGCAGTTGCTTTGCATTCTTCCATCTGTTAAACAACATAACATGGTGCCAACCATATGGTCTCCCACAACAATGACATGTTCATCTCTTCCATGAGACTATTTAACATACTTTTGGAATGAGTATGGAGCTTCATGGCTAATAAGATGGCTTAGATTAGTCAAATGGTCCTTATCTTGAGCCAAGAAAACAGCTTTGCCTCTATGACTGCATGTATTCTTCACTACCTTTGGGAACTCCAGTACTTCTGCTTCATCAATCATTTTAGAAAAATATTATGACTGCCATAAGAGAAAGTATATGGGAAAGGGACACCATGGCCAACCAACTATTGAAATGTCCAGAACTTATTAACACTTCAGGATGGCTTGAGGTCAATTCATCAATTGGCATCTCATCTTTCCTAGATGGCACAAAACAGTGATGTCACTATCAATTTGCACCCAAGGGGGTGGTATTCTCAGTACCACCACCTGGGAGGTAGGCAGGAATTAGTTCTCCATTGATCTGCAGACCCAGGTTTCCTTGCTTAATTGTTGGCATGATCTCATCTATCAACACAACTGAAAAGTTCAGTTTCTCTTCACAACACTTGGTCTTTAACGGTCATGTTATCTCTTTTGAAGAGAGAAAAAATGGTGGCAGAGTGAATAGAAGCTTTACAGACCATCTCCCAAGACCAAACAGGAATTACAACTATAATAAAGACAAATCATCAGGAAAAAAACAACTGAAGAGCAGCTGAAGAGAACCCTTATAACCAGGGATGGAAAGAGGACACCAAATCGAGCCTGGTAGGAGCTGCAGAGGTGCAAGAGGGCTGGCTGGGTCCCCATGGGAAATAGCTAGGGTACCTTAGTGGTGAACAGCTCCTTCTGAGAAGTCATGGGTTAAATCTCTAAGACAGCTCCACAGCACAGAATGAAGACTTCTCAGCACAGAGTGGTGGCTCCCCAGCACAGAATGGTGGAGCAGGGAAAAGTTCACACATAAAACCTAGTCAAGGAATTCACAACAGCTGAGGCTTGGGAAACTCGGGCAATTCCCTGAAGGTCCAGGGCACTAAATCAGCTGCAGTCACTCATCTTGGGCTCCAGCAAGGAAAGGCAGACTGGACTGAAACTGTGAAAAAAGTCAGGGGTTCATGGCACTGGGGAGAGAGCTGGGAAAGAGGTCACTGGGAGTTTTATGCTGAATCACTCCTTCATAGGACAGTAGCCATCTTCTCAAAGACTACCTTCCCTGAGCCCTGGGGAGAAGCAGCATGAATAAAAGTATAGAAACAATGAAAATCAACCAATTGGAAATGAAAAACTACCAAGTGGAGATGAAGGATGATACAGCAGAAATAAAGAACATGTTGGAAGGAATAACCAGCAGAGTAGAGGAAGCCGAGGACTGGATCAGTGAATTAGAAGACAGTGTAGAAAAAGAATCACCCAATCAGAGAACTAAAAAGAAAAATACAATTAAAAAACAAGAAGACAACTGAAGAGAACTGTGGGGCAATATGAAATGTGACGACATCACCTCATAGGACTTCCAGAAGAAGAAAATGAGCAAGGGTTACAGAACACATTTGAATAAACAGTGACAGAAAATTTCCCTAACTTGGTGAGAAAAAAAGGCAAAAATTTCAAGAAACAGAAAGCCCCAAGTAATAAGAACCTGAAGAAGCTGACACCAAGACAAATAATAATAAAATGCCAAAAATTAAAGACAAAGGCAGAATCCTAAAGGCAGCAAGAGATAACCAACAGGTTACCTACAAAGGAACCCCTATAAGAGTATCAGTTGACTTCTCAACAGAAACACTACAAACCATAAGATAAAGGCATGAAGTAATCAAAGTAATAAAAAACAAAGATCTAAACCCAAGACTACTCTATCCAGCAATGCTATCATTCAAAATAGAAGGTGAAATAAACAGCTTCCCAGACAGGAAAAGGGGGGGTGGGCTAAGGGACTGTATTATCACCAAACCAGCAATAGAATAAATGTTAGAAGGACTGCTGTAATTAGTAGAAAAAATAGAAAGAAAAATATAACTACAATAAACAAAAAGGGCAATGAATAAATAAATAAATATCAATAATAACCTTAAATGCAAATCATCTAAAAGCTTCAATCAAAAGACACAGAGTAGCTGATTGGATAGGCAAGCATGACTCATATATATTTGTTTACAAGAGACCCACCTCACAACAAAAGACTCACATAGGTTGAAAGTGAAGGGATGGAAAAAAATCTTCCAAGTAAACAAAAAGAAAAAAAGAGCTGAGGTAGCAATAATCATATCTGATAAAATAGAATTCAAAATGAAAGTCGTAACTAGACACAAGGAAGGCCACTACATAATATTAAGAAGATCTATCCAACAGGAAGATATAACCTTGGTAAACATATATGCACCCAATATAAGAGCACCAAAATATATTTAAAACCTTCTGGAGGACTTCAAAAGTGAAATCGACAGCAATACAATTATAGCAGGGAAATTCAACACCCCACTGACATCACAGGATAGATCCTGTAGACAAAATATTAACAAGGGTACACAGACTCTAAATGATGGACTAGATCAAATGGATTTAATAGATATATACAAAAAATTACACCCCAAAACTGCAGAATTCACAGTCTTCACAAACTAATACTCTACAAGTTCAAGAAGATTGAAATCATATCAAGTATCTTCTCAGATCACAATGGCATAAAACTAGAAATCAATTACTACAAAAAGATGCAAAAACATTTAAACACATGGAGGCTAAATAGCATGTTATTAAACAATGAATGGGTTACCAAGGAGATCAAGGAAGAAATTAAAAACTTCCTGGAAACCATTGAAAATGAACACACAACTATTATGGGATGCAGTCAAAGCAGTCCTGAGAGGGAAGTCCATATCACTACAGGCCTATCTCAGGAAACAAGAAAAATTTATAATTGACTATCTAACTCACAACTTAAAGAACTAGAAAGTAAACAAAAAGAGAAACCCTGACCAAGTAGAAGTAAAGAAATAGTAGAGATCAGAGCAGAAATAAACAATATAGACATTTAAAAAAAAATTCAAAAGATTAATGAAACAAAGAGCTTGTTCTTTGAAAACATATACAAGATTGATGGACCTTTAGCTAGATTCACCCAGAAACAAAGAGAGAGGACCCAAATAAACAAAATCAGAAGTGAAAGAGGAGAAGTAACGACTGATGCCACAGAATACA